AATGAAAGAACTAGTACAATTCAATCCACTGACACCTCGGGGAATTCACTTGTACATAACAAATAAAAGCACAGTGCCAAGCCATCAGCTCCTCCTGACCCAGGGCTAGCCTGACTCATACAGTCTAGAAATGTTCAACAGTTTTGTCTAGAAGTTCATGAAGTACATATTTCTGGTTAAATGAAAAGTCCAAGAAGAAATAATGTGTAATGTGAAAGTCCTTGCTTGCCTGTCTCCAAAGGCTACCACCGTGAAAATCCCAACGACACAGGCATGGTGGTGCAGACCTGCAACCCCAGCCCTTGTGTGTCACAGGCAATAGATCAGGAATCTGTGGGCAGCCGGGGTGACACAGCAAGATCCTGTCTGAACAATCACAACTAGCTGGGTGCGCTGGCTCCTGCCTATAATTTCTTTTTTTTTTTTTTTTCCTCCGGTACCAGGAACCGAACTCATGACCTTGCGCTTGCCAGGCAGGCGCTTTTTGCCGCTGAGCTAAATCCCCAGCCCCTCCTGCCTATAATTTCAAAATTCTGCTCTGGGTATCTGATAGGAAGGTCATAATTTCAATACCAGTCTGGGCAGTTTAGTGAGACTCTGTCTCAAAATAAAATATAAAATAAAGTAAAATAAAATAAAATAAAATAAAATAAAAAAAGCCTGGAGGTGTAGATCAGAATGAAGGCCCTGGATTCAATCCTCAGTACTGAAAAATAAAAATAAAAAATTCTCAGGAGGACCTTTTATACATTTCGCCTATGAATACATAGATATGTCACTTGATCTATTTTGCCATAAATGGGATTGTATACCTACTCATTTGAAATTTGCCTTTTTCGCTTTTCTTGTTCATATAGTAGATTTATTATTTTAAACAGCTTATGACATTCTCTGTGGTTCTAGATTTTAAAGTTACAGAAAACTGCATAAAAATCTTGCTCATAGATTTCTGTGCACCGGCTCACATACCTGCACCAAAAACGACTGCAAGTTGACCTGACAGTGTGTGTACTGTTGACTCCCTATATGATGTCAAAGTGGAACTCACACACACACACTCACATACACACACACACACACAGAGATTCTAGGATACACTCCAGACACACCAACTCCAAACTTCATAACACATAGCACTAAGCATATCGTATAATATAAAGTTTGAAAAATGATTTTGAAGTACAGAGAAGGTTGAGAATCATTTGTAGAATTTATTCTTTGACAGAAACATAATAAATCACATCAGCCTTTCTAAAAGCCATAACAAAACGTGGATTCACACTGAGATAATTGTTAACTTACACTTCTGTCTTTCAGAGAGTAAATTTTCCTTCCATTCCCTGTCATTGCAATTGGCTTTATAGTGCTCAGGATATAATAGGTTAATAGCTGTCATATTCCATTCTCATAGTTAATTTTAATCCATATTATATAACACCTAGACATTTTGAGAATAGATTCTTTTAGTTAGTGTATTTCCTTATTGTTATAGTTTTTTTTTAAAATTATGACTATTAATCTATAATTTTACCAAATGAATAATAAAATATTGAAATGGCCTAGGACAAGAGCAGATTACTGGAGGCCACCAGGAAAGGTAACAGCCTTGGTTACCACATATACCTAATCAGGCACTTTAAAGGTTTGTCTTTATCAGTTATAGCTCAAACTAATTATACTGTCTAAAAACTATTAAAGATAATATTGTACAACTTGCCAAAAGCTTTTCTCTTTATAAATATAGAATGAGGTCTATCATGTATTTATATACTACATAAATATGTAAAGAACATACAATATGTTTCTGCTGAGTACATGAAGTATAAATAGTGCATATCTTCTTTCCACATGTATAAACTATTACTGTTGCATAACAGATGTTCAATAAATACTTGTTGAATGAATAAAGAATCCCTCACTCCACGTTTTTCAATAAGCAACCAATAAACAACTATACCATAATCTAAAACTGGTCAGACTGAAGGAGAAGAGTGACTTGGAAATGGAAAAATCAGGTTTCAGTGTTTTTTACTATTTTAACTTTTAGATGTCTGTAAATATCAAAAGGGAGATACCAGAAGGAAAAATAAATGAGTCAGTTATTTAGGAATATACTTAATCTGCAAAGAATATTTTAGAAGTTATCAGAATATAGAAGAATTTTTAAGTGATGGAATTTTTAAAATAAGTAATAAAAATCTAAAGAGTCACTAAAGGATAAAATATGATTAAGGAAATACATATATAACATATTTATTGATAGAAATATTTAATATCAAACAAGAAATATTCAATGTCTTAGTTACTGTTAGCTAAAGTAATCTAAAACTTAAAATATTGTAACATCTTAATTCAATTATAAAGTGACACAGTAAAAATTCAAATTTAAAAAAAAAAAAAAAAAAGCCAGTGAGCCAGTTTGCCTAAAAGAGATCAAGATGTAGCATAAAACCATAGTTACTATGTTGTGATGTTACTATTTCAATAATAGATTATGAACCAAATCAACAAAATGGAAGGTCAAAGACTGGTGTACTGTGAAACAATGGGACAGAGTGTTTCAATTTGTTTATCACCCTGTACAGTTTACATGCGTGACAGTAAAAATTGTTACATGTATTTCATGTTTGTGTTATATATGTATGCTATATAAATACATATTCATTGTACGTTTGCATGTATCGTATTTTTATATAAGTATATATGGACATGTACACAAATATATAAGAAAAAAACGGAGAAAAATGTGTATATGTGCATGCACACATGTGTGTGTATATGTGTATAAAGCAATGGTAGCACTGCATATTAATCAGGAAAGGGTAAACTAATACATGATGGGTACCAAATTGTCTGCACTAGAAAAAAGTGATCCCTATGTTATGGTTTGTATCTAGATGTCTCCATAAGGCCTCATGCCCTCATAGGTGAGTGGTGGCTGGAAAATAGGTGTGTGATACTGGGATTAACCGTATATGGCAGTGGATTCGCCCACTTTTTGGTTTGCCATTGTTCTCTGTGTGGCTGAATGGATTTACTGAAGAAAAATTCCCCCCTCAGTGTGGTTGGCACTTTCTAAAAGGCTTGCAGCCAGGATGGAATATAAAGAGAAAAGGGGGCTTGATGCTGCTGCTTTTCTGCCTGTCCTGCCGTGGACTGTTTCTCCACTGCTCTGTTGCTCTGCCGCTCTGCCATGTCCTGCTCATGCCATGCTGCTCTGCCCTGCCTTGGAGCTGGCTCAGTTTGGACTGGAGCCTCCACAAATTGTGAGCTAAAATAAACTTATCCTATCTTTACCTTGTGGATATCATCAGGTATTTGCCACAGCAAGGAGAGAGCAACTAAGACATCCTATGTCATTATATATATATATATATATATATACACACACACACACTCACACACACATATATATACTTCAGAAAGAATAAAGATCTAACTTTTCAATTATAATATTTCAATCTTATACAAAATATATTCTTGTTGATAGAAATTCTTAGCAAGGCCAAAAATCACAAATCAGAGCACAAGCAGGTGCTCAAGAAATACTTCTTAAAGGAATTAAAACATGGATAACATGTTTAAAGTTCTTAAAATTTTCTTAGTTTAGACTAGTATTTAGAAAGTTAAAGGCAAAGCCACATTTAGCAGATTTTTGAACATATTTCAACAACTTGATAATAACAAAAAGTGAACAACCAAGGTAAAATTGTCAAAGGATGTAGGCAATAGCAGACTTAGCAAAATAGTTGGTAAATATTTGAAAAAATATTCTACAAAATAATCAGAAAATGGAAAAGCGAAACCAGTGAGATATCCTTAACACTCCAGGTTAAAAAACATCAAATGACAACATCAAGCATTAGGCATGATGTGGACAGAGGAGATTTCTCATAGATGGTTGTAAGAGCATAACTGATTGAACTTTTTCAGAGATGTCATTCTGTGCCCTATGAGGTCTCATAGAAAACTGACATTAGTTAAGAGATCACAGCTACAGACCCTCTGACCAGTTTTTACTTTTTAATCAACATAAAATCCAAAGAACCACTGTTACTTCAATATTTGTAGAAATGAAATTCTCAGACAGACAAATCAAGAAGTTAATACATACCTTACTTTTAGGAGAGGAAGAATCTTAACAGATATCCAGAGACTTCGTGTCCTTAATCATTATTATATGTTACATTCGTAAAACATTTGTATTCTTTTTTAGAAAGTAAGAATCTATATGGTATTTGGGCTCTTCTAATACAGGGGCTTTAAGCATTTCCTCATATAGTGGGTTCTGATTCATAGCTCTGTGTGATTACTAGTCATTTAGATATAATTCCTGAAAGCAATATGACTCTTTAGAGCTTAACAAACTCCTAAATTGTTATAAGAAAATAGTTCTGATTGCTCAGAATATGCTATCATGTCTTATCATTAAAAAAGAAATCAGGAGAAATACATTGAACCAGCTCACATAGTAAAACTTAGGACAAAGGTCATCCATGACTTTACTAAAGTTTCTCTGCAATCTATTTTGCCCCTTTAAACAACAAGTAGTTTATAATACTTATATAATAATAATCATCCTCTAATACCCAATCTGTTCATCTATAAAATAAGAGGCTTTCACTACATGTCATAATATTCTAGGATTTGAAATAAGACTACCACTTTGCGTTCACTAGAGATGAAAGGAATTTACCAAGATAGATTAATTGAAAAAACTTTAATTATCCAGATTCAATATGTCTATTTACAGTAGGTCTTGCAAATTTTCAGACCACTGGAAGATATTTAACGTTAACATAAAACTCTCAGGACCATCTAAAAGAGCTACAAGAACTAGTTCCTTTGTAAAGAATAAATCATGATGCTGAAAAATTCAGTCATCCATCTTTAAACTGAATACATATTTCCATGTTATGAAAGGATGAAGATGTATATATTTATTTATTCATATATGTATATATATTTATTGAAAAAATAGAGTAACATAGTCACCATACCTGTGGACACAATGTTTCCAAGTGATTGGCTGCAATTCTGACAATTTTAATTCCGTCTTCATTTGTTGACATGGAACAAGCAAGATTTGCCACCTTAAATATAATTTAAAATAATGGAAATGTTTTAGAAGATCAAGGAAATGCAGAAATATTTATTAGACTGGATATATTAGAGCATGTAGTCATTGCCTGAAAATACAGAGATGGTGTTCTCACAAATGTCACTGCTGTATATTTTATGAAAGAATTCAAAGACTCTTTTAAAATAAATAACAATAAAAGACTCTAGAGAACTGTTTAAACAAAAGAAAATGTTAATCAGTGAAGCACTAAGCCCTCCGCAGTCTCTTGGTATCAACATCTAACCCATGATAAGAGGCTCTTATGGGACTGGAAGAAATTATCTATGGATTGCATACTAATAAATTCTTGGAATCTTATATGATTGTGGTTTATTTTAGGTTTGTAATTGGTTTATTATTTCCCAGAGATCTATTATGCATACTTAAGTTGCATTAAGCATGAATGTATCTTATTCATGTTTTATTCAGTATCAAATATACTTCCTAGCTGGACAAATAAAACATAATTAAATATTTTTTCCTGTTCTTGATTTTCTATTACAACTTAATGGACACTGTTTGACATTCAAGCAGTCAATTTGAATCCAGCATTAGTGACACCAAAGTTTATTTCCTATTATTTCTTTTGAAATTTACATTCTCTTACAGTAAGTGTTCTTTTATAGGTGTCCTTTTTAAATAACTACCATTATGTCCATGACCTATATCCAGTATTTACAAATAGTTTCTTCATATCAAAGCCATGGGAAAAGGTGTGGAATTGTTTTCTCTGAACCCCACTCTTGGTCAACATTTCTCCTGCTGGCACAGTGATCTCTGATCTGCAAAATCCATCACTGTCATTATCACTGCAAGAAGTAGTTCTTCTAACATCTCTTAACTTCTCCAATGTCCCGGTGATTATGTACGAGTACTCAGAATATGTTGTTGCACAAGATCTGCACATCGTTTGCAAGGCTGCTGCTGGATCACTATTTTAAGAGTGCCACCAAATATTATTTATGTTTTTTTTTCCTTTTTATAGCATTATTTTTAATATGTCAGTAGTCAAACAACTTCTTGACTTGCATTTACATGTAATAAAATAACAGCCATACATTATTTAACTGTGGAAGGGCATTGTTCGCGTTATTAATGTACATGGAAATGGCTTACTTGAAAAGGTCTTTTGTTGGCTTGAAGGTCACAGTGCCTCAACTTTCATATCTGACACATAATTAGTGCATTTGCGAATTATTTGAAAAGGGCAACAGTTTCTGTGTCCTTCTACCCAATGCCTCTCACTGATAGTGAAACTCAACAGTGTCATTGCTTTAACCCTTATATCAATTTACACTCTTGCTGCAGAAAATATCTGTAAATCTGAGTGCTGTGTGTTTAAAGTAAAATAAATAAATAAATAAATAAATAAAAGCTCGTTGGGTCTATACTTCCATCACTTTAAAATACTGCTGATTCCCCAAACCTTAAAATTACAGAAAACTGAGTCCATATAGACAAATTCTTTTCAGTGTATCTTTTTTCTTTTCTCCCTTTAAAAAACATCATTCTTGTTCTGGACATTTGCTGTACATGATGTTTATTGGAAGCCGATCAACTGGATAACATAACATAAGAATTATCCTAAACACAGTTTAGGGTTAAATTTGCTGAATTAATTTTTTACCAAACTGTCAAATGAAAATGCAACATCACTGAAAATTGCATTTTCTAGACAAAGTTTTACATTCAGTGAATGACCATACTAACATTATTCAGTGCTCATACCTATTGGAACTTCTTATTATAACTGTTCCATATCAGCTACATTTTTAGGTAATCAAATGCTATTTCAAGACATGCGTAATATTGTACAAACAAGGTTGAAGATACTGTAGTTAGTGTTCTGTGGCAAAGAAAAAATATAAAAGAAATAAAATATCATCATATTTTCTAATCTAAGTTTTCCAAGTTTAAACATTTTCCAAAGTCACATAGACATGAAAATGAAAGCCAAATTTCTTGTAAAAATAATTATTCCTAAATTCTCTGTTATGTGTCTCTTTAGGCAGTCATGTATTTTCCTAAGCACAGAATAAGGATAACTCCCCAGTTGTCAAAGAAAACAGCATGCAAATAAAATATTTTGGAAATAGCTTCAGATATGCTGACATTTGATATTCTTTGTTTATGTAAATTTGCCTGTGTTTCAAAAATCTTGGATACTGAGGCACAGGAATGTTTTGGAGACAAATACATTTGAGTTTGAAACTGATTTCCACAATAAGCTTCTAATACTGGGAAAGTTGTTAATTTCTCTGACTCTATTTTTTTTTCCTGGTACCTGGAATCAAACTCACAACCTTGTGCTTGCCGGGCAGACGTTGTGCCACTGAGCTAAATCCCCAGCCCCTCTGACTCTATTTTGCTACCTATAAAATGTATGCAATAACGCTTACCTCCCTGGAGTGTTCTGAGCATTAACTGAAACAGTCAGTAGAGAAGGCCTCATACCTGAGTGTGCTGATCCTGTGTGCACCTCCATTCCTTCTATCCATCCCTTAACTAATGAACAAGGGAGAGAATCTTCGCTCTTTCAGAGGATTTACAGAATTAAAACCTTAGAAGCCTAATGAAATTAAATAAAATTTCTAAACAAAGCCCAAACGCAATTGTTTATAACAGCCATATAGCGAGAAAAACGTAAAGTGTAGATGCATCTTGGTGCTGTAGTATAATGAATGTGCACACCTTATCAAAAGGTGGAGCACCTCATGATGACAAAATACAAAAACTTCATTCGTTGGACAACCAAACGGTCATTGTAACCTCTGATCCTGCTTGCTGCATCCTCCACTGTACACAGACAAAAACAAAAGTCAGATAGAGAGAAGAAATACACTCAATCAATGGCAGGAAAACTGTTAACTAGATATGTGTGTGTGTGCTCTTTACGCATGGTTAATTAAAGTACCAGCAAAGGTCTTCTCATTGAAATGATTGAACAGACTTTGTACTGATATGTGTTGTACTCTCAGCCAAGTCTAAGTAAAGCAGGGTCTAAATTACCCTAAACAAATAAGAATGAAGATATTTGGGTAAATTGACATGTTCATTAAAAAGAATGGTTATGGAAAAATATTTGTTCATTTTATCAAAAGATTCAATTATATTAAAATTATCACCAATAATTTTTCTAGTAAGTATAAAATGAAACAAAACAAAATCTTTAAACGGAAACATTGTCATATTAAGAGGGGAGTGACATTTTCTATTAGTGCCTTTATCTTTTTAAATTTATGTATTTCTAATTTTCAAAATTTTCATTAGTACATGACTATAGAAGTAAGGATCTCATTCACTGTGGCAAGTGGGTACCTGTGCATGTGTAGTTTGCTTCCTTTAATTCCCCGTTCACTTCCGTTCTGCCCTCTCCCTCCATCTCAGCATCACCTGCCCACTTACCCTGGATCTGTCTCCCTTTTTCCCATTGCCCATCTTTTCTTTTGCTCATTAAATTATGTATGCTTTAGGTATCTCATATAAGAGAAGTCATGAGATATCTAAGATGGATTTATTTCACTAAACATTATGGCCTCAAGTTGCATCTGTTTTCCTATAAATGACTTAAATTTATCCTTCTTTTCTCCATCATGAATAAATAATGCACTTTCTTTATCCATTCATTGTAGATTGCCTCCAAGATTTAAGAAGCTACCCAAAAGTGCAACATCAGAGTCAAATAAAATTTCTAGTTTTAATTTTCTGAGGAATCTCCATACTTTTTCTAGTAAGTATAAAATGAAACAAAATCTTTAAGCAGAAACATGCTGCCCTATTAAGAGGGGAGTGATTTCTGTAATGATTGTGCAAGTTTACATTCCCACTAACAGTGTAGAAGGGTTTCCTTCCCCTCCCCTGCCAAAGCATACTGTTAGATTTCTTAATGTCAGCAGTTCTTTGTGGGTTAAGATAGAATCTCATTTTGAGGTGTTACTCTGTATTCCTCTGGTGGCCATAAGTGTTGAACAATTTTTATGTATTTATTGGCCATTCATACTTCTGAGAAGTGTCTATTCATTTCAGTTGCCCATTTTTTATTGGGTCTTTTATTTGGAGATCTGAATTTTGGGCATTTTTAAAATATATTCTCCATATTAGTCCACTATCCAAAAAGTAGCTGACAAATTTTTTTTCTCATTCTGTAGGTTGTATATTCATTTTGCTGCATGTGCAGTTTGTTTCTGTTTTAAATCTAGGTCTTAGATCTGAGTCTTTGCCCTTTGCGTCAGTCCTTCTGTGCTGTGAAATGTGTGTCAAATTCCAGCCCTTCAAACTTGTCTGACCTTCCTGCTCCATACTAACTCTAAAAACAGCAGCGCACTCAGCAAGTCCTGACCAAACCATTCCTGCTGCGGACAAACTTGGTGATGTTTGTTCCCCTTATTCAAGTTTTGATTCATGTTCTGTACAAAAATTAGTGTGTTTCTGTCATGTTTCCTACTTGCCAGACATTGACTTTTACTTCTACTTGGCAGAAAGCAGGGTGTTTTCACTCTTTCACCTGTAATCTGGGGTGAGAAATTCCTGCCCAAGAACCTGGTCTGTAGAACCCTGCATGTAGGGTTATTCTGTCCCTCACTCTCTATCAAGTTCAGGAGTATGGACATTGCTGACACAAAAGCATAACTCACTGGTGGTGGAAATGGATTCTCTGCCACAAAAAATGATAAGCTTGAGTTATTTATAGGAAAGGAGATGCACCTCAAAACCATAATGTTAAGTGAAATAAGTCAGAGATGCAAACTTAAATATGATCTGGTCTCTCTAATATGAGAAACATAAAATAGAAATAAATCAAAAGGCAAAATAAAAGATAGATTATAAGAGGCATGGAGATAGATATTTTGCAGAAGGAAAGGTGACCAAGAGAAGTGTCAGAGACAGGAGATGATGAATTAATTAAGGTACATGTTGATACATATATGCGTATCAACTTTCTGCAATGAGTATAATCATTTTGTACTCCAA